TCACAACTGGAATATTGGGAGTCCTATGTTCTGGTCTCAACTTTGTGTAATTTAGGGCAACTCACTTAACCTCTCTGTTTCTATTTCCTCCCCTGTAAAAAAGGTACATAAATACGATAATTTTCAAAGTTCCTTTGGGCACTAAATTTCTATAATTCTCCACCATTATTAAAGAAAGAAAAAGAGGGTGGAATGCCCCCCCCCACTACTTCTGTTTGCATAGGAACAGTAAATGTTCATTGAGTAAATGAATGATTAGCATGACTTTAGTGGGATAAGGTTATGCATAGAATGTTTGATTCTGGTGAGAATTTGCTGTTTACTGTACTCATTATTTTCATGTTGTCATTGCATCTTAAGCTACAGCTACCCTGATAAGTTAGGGTGCACTATTATGCATCTTTCTTCAGCATGGCTTACTGTTTGTTCATATACTCACTGAGCACAATGCTAGGCTCTGGATGAGAACAACTTAATTCCTGCTTTGAAGGATCTCACAGTGTGGATGGGAAAACAATTCATTCTTTCTCAGAGAAGGACATTTGAGTTTGGGTTTGGAGGATGCACATAAGATAGCCTGATAGAGAAATGGAAATAGGGGTGGGAGGAAGGCGATTTAGGAGGAGGAATGGCTGGTGCAAAGGCATGGATGTATCAGAGAATGTGAAGAATGGGAGAGTGGAGAGACTGACACACAAAGGAGGGAGGAGTAGGTGAAAGGGGGTAGTGGAAGATAGGACTGCTGGGTTCTGTGTAGAAATTAGAAAACACTCTAGTTATTTCTAGCAGGAAGGCTTTAATACAGGTACTTAGGTGCTTACACAATTGCTGGGAGGGGCAGTGGACATCAAGTGGCTGTCGTGTTTAGATCATGTCACCCCTGTTGCTACCCGGAGGTTAGGGGGATGCTGCCCCCTATGGGTGGCTGGGAACAGTATAAAACCACTGCCAATATCACAGATGCACAGCCCTGGACTAGACAGTAGGATAAAGTACGGCTGCTGCAAAAACTGAGTCTGCTGCAATCTGTGCATGAGTTGCTCCTACTGTAAGAGGAAGAATGGCCCCAGCTTCCTTTCCACTTACCAAATCTTGCATGAGTGTATCTTACCAGCAAGATCACAGCTAGCACCAGGTAGCAAGGGAATCTGGGAAATGTAGTTGCCAGGCTTCCAGCGCCTGTGAGAAAGAAACTTAGAAGGGGAGTGGAAATGAATGCCGAGGGCCAGTCAGCAGTATCTCCCATAGCTAGCGAGGCATGTTGGAACCAGACTGTGTGGGAATTGGAAGAGCATGCTGAAAAGTCAGGAAAATGCTACATGGGATGCTACTGAAAGTTTAACCACTTCAGTACGAGCACTGACTATAGTCGACAGCCACAGATGAATGCACACAGCCAAGCATTGACTTTAGCCGACAGCCGTGATATGAAGGCGCACAGCCAAAAGCTTTTACTTTTACAGCTTTTATCTCTGCGGTTGCAGTGTGTACATTCAGCTAATAAGTTACTACGAATCTGTGACCTCTTAACAAGTCCTTAGTAGGAGTTATTATAGTTATTTTCCTAAACCTGCCTGTAAAGTAAAACAAGCTTTTCAGTGCTTTAAAGCTTTCCTCATCACACAAGAGCAAAACGGATCCGTCGTCAATGCACAGCACAAACTATCGTGTGGACTGTGAGTGCCGGCCGTGGGCAAGGTTTCGAGGCTGGTGAGCGCCATTCCGAAGTGGTTAAAAGCAGGATCGTCATGATGAAATTTGTTTTATATATTATGGAAATTGGCTCACATAAAAAAAAAAAAATAAAAAAGGAAAAAGAAATTTGTTTTATAAACAAACATGGGTGACACAGTGAAGGCCATTCTCTACACTGAAAAAGAAAACCAAAACCCCAAAATGTAAGCTATATATAAATACCTTAAACTGCGGTGAAAGCCCTCTAAGGTTTTTTTAAAAAAACAGCTGTGATAACTCACTCATCCAATATTCTCCCCCCAATTTTTTATTGGATACACATTTTGAGGCTGGTGCAGTGAATACATACAAATCATCTGTGGCGTCTGCTCTTAAGAAGCTAATATTAACTTTTTTTTTCTTTCCAGTGAAGAGTAGTTTTAGAGGGTTGTTTGGAGGATTAATTCATTGCTTTTCAAAGTACCTTCTGCTAAACTCTCATTTTATAAGACGTTTGAAGAAAAAAAGTCTCATAATCAGTCTCATATATAAAATCAAAAAGTCTCATATATAAAACATGCATAAAAACAAAACTATATGTACTATAGTTCTTATGAATTAAGTTTCTAATAAATAATAAAAAAATTCATTGTTTAATTTTGTTTTACTGGTGTTACTTGTATTTGATTCTTAATATCAACAGCTGAGTTCTTCAGAGAGCACAGTTGGGGAAAGACTGGATGCTTGTATAGAGGAGCCAGGCCAACTGAAGACTACCAGCGGGCTATTTATAAAAAAGGATTTAGATGTGATTTAGAATGAAAAGGAGAAAATGATTTTAGCTTTAGGTATGACTTCTTGATCTCAGAAGCATTTTTAGGTCAGAAAGGGCATTGAATTAATCAAACTGATCTTCACAATAAAAAGAAACCAATGGCTACTGAAAATTACTTTAAGTATGATAAACTTATCAAACTTTGATAAGTATGAAACCAAGTGCCATAAAAATCATCTAGGAAAATGCAAATCCTGGACAATGGAAGCTTGTAACTGTTGTAACAGGATATTAAATGGCGAGGTTGGCTGTCACACCAAGCTATAACAAGTATGTTGCAATCCAAACGTGTTCACTCTGCAAGACTGACAGAGGTTTTGCAAAACTAGCTATGCAACTATTAAATCCCTACACCTGCTATAAGGTTGTGAAAGCGTTGAAGAAATGGGAATAGAAATGATTTAGTGAGGATTTCTTTGGAGAGTTATGCTGGAATTCCTTACCTCTGCCACCCAAGAGCCAATAGTGAGAGGTGTTCAGGCTATCACTGGTCTCCCACCTCTTTCCTGAAGTGGGAGGTGTGTTCTGGTACCTGACTTGCCTGGGGGAACCTCGGGGTGATGTGCAGGCCAGCAATTTTGGCAGTGGAGGGAGAGGCCTGCGAGTTTGCCTGGGTCTTCTCTTCTAGAATCAGGGCAAAGGGCACTGGATGTGGGCTGATGGGAGACAGTGTCAGTCTGGGAACATTCCAAAAATCCCACCTGAGAGCCTGTGGAGTGGAGTACAGGAAAGCCAGAGGCTAAAGGAGAACAGCAGCTGGAGGAAAATGAATTGCCCACATCACAGGAAACTCAAGCCAGATGAAGACTTTAAAGAACTGTCTATGGGAATCAGCTCAAATATCTGCCAGTCCCACCTCACAATTTAGCAGGGGAGTCTGACAACAGGGCAACATAGATGACTCTCTGCACACATGAAGAGCTAGGGGAAATCAGATTAAGTCTGCTTAGACTTACTTCAAAGGGAGGGTTAACAATAGAAACAACAGAATTTGACTTTGAATTAAAGGTGAGCATTTGCTAGACTGAGAAGCATTTAACCTTATGAATAACATGAGAAGTCAGGGGGTGGTCTACATTCACCTGTGATTCCTATATTGGATAAACATCAGAATCATCTGGAAGCTCCAAATCTGCAGTGATTCAGACTCAGTAGAAATCAGCTCAATTGCATAGATCCTCAACACTCTCAAGCTCCCACATAATTCTGATGCAGTAAATTTTGGTGTCTGAAAACCACTGAGAAGTCTCAGGAAAAAGATCTGACTTGGGTTTATAAGGGCCTGGTTGGTTATGTTGTAACTGTTAATGGTTTTACTGAAAACAGTATGTCAAAAAAGCTCACCAAGAAATATAACCAACATTTCTTATTAAATGAATTAATTTTATTGCTATTTTATAAAGCTTAATATTTTTCTAAAAAAATCAATTTACACATAGTAAAGTTATAAGCAGATAGCTATAGATAATATAGCCATTAGGAAAGAGCACAGCTAAATAATATGAAAACAAAAGCAGTAAGCAGTAATAAAATTAATCCCTACATAAAACTAGCAGTGCAATAAGATAAGCAGAAAGCAGCTTTACTTTAAAAAAAAATTATTTAAATACAGAAATAGCACCTTACAAAAAGGAATGGAGAAATGTAAACTTGGTAGGTAGATTCAAGTATAAAAGTTATACCCCCAACTCTTGTACCAGCATGAAAGGGTTTCACAAACCCTGGACAGTGTAGGGCACATACCCTCAGTGCTGACTCATAGCTGCATTTTCTTAGCAGGATCACCAACGATTATTTTTTTCTTTTACTAAATTATACAATGATAGACTCAAGATTGCCATTGCTTCCTCACTACCAAGTCTAGCTCAGCAGCTTCACTACCATCGGTCGTTCTGTAAGACAGACTTATTTTCCTGACAGAAACAACCACTGCATTATTTTGTTTTTACATATCTTAAAGCCACATGAAGAAGTGGGTACTGAATACAAATGTTATTTTTCCTTGGTTTTCTATTGCTAAGTATGGTCACGATGACACACTATTCTCATTTATGGGATTACTTCTTAACACCCCTCAAGAACCTGAATTCTTTGAGGTTAATATGGTCATATTGAGAGTAGAATAATAATAATAATAATTAAAAGGACAGCGAAGAAGTTAAAACAAGTGGAGAACATCCAGGAACAGTAAGGGGAAAACCAGTTTGTGTTTCCATCTAAATGCAGACCTCTCAGTGAAAATACTTTATGTTAAGTTCTTAAGCATGGCAGCTTTAAAATGGACATACCCTGCACAGATTTATATGTTATGTATTCTATAATTTACCTGAAAAAGGTTTATTTTTATTTGTTCCAATAGGAAACCCATCGGTATTAGTTCAGGGTAATCATTACCATGCAATTGTTGACAGCTGGAACTACATTTTCAATTTTACTCTAGAGAAGATTGTAAAAAAGGGAAAAAAAATACCATCTGGTAAACTTTAAAAGTTTAGTGTTGATAAAATTTCATATAAGTAGCAAATTTATTTAATCTGGCTACCTACCTCAAGTTTTTAAAAATCTTGTAGGGGCAATAAGGCTAATATTATTATCCTGTAGTTAATATAAAGCTACTTTACTTAGACTCCCAGAGTCTCTTAAATTAATATTTTTATTCTTTCATATAACCTTTTATTGGGTCCAAAAATAAAAATAAAATAAAACCCTACACCAGGATTCTAAATCTAAGATAGAAGTTTTAAAAGAGAGTTAGAAAAGACAAAGGAAGGAAGGAAGGAAGTCATTTACTCTGAAGAGAGGAGAGGTAAATATCAGTAAATCTAGGAATACAAAAAACAAGTTTGGCTACTTAATGAACCTCTAAAGTAATGTAGTTTAACAAAGGGAAATTGCATAATAGCTTCCAGAATTGTGTTCATGCTAGAACAATGAACTCCTGCACTCACTGTTCTTATTTTTCAGAAGTACCATCTAATCATGGTTTGAATATTCTTGGATATGGAAAATAATGTGTCCATTTTCCTTCTTATCCTTCGTAACATGAAGAAAAGAAGTAAAAGAAATATAAAAAATCACCTATCGCCCTGTATCAATTTCTACACCATTACTCTTAAGAATTCAACTAAAAGGTCTCATTCAGGTTCCAATTTTCCATATAATTACTTTCTACCCATCCTGATTTATTTTACAAACAGCAATTGTTAGAAGGCATCCATACCTGATACTCTACCGCTAAAATTTAAATTAAAAACATAGGGCATGTAGTGAAGGAAACTGAACACAGGATTTTTAGAAATGAATAGTAAAACCTCACTGTTCACAGTTATTTGAAAAGCAGCGATCAGGCTGCTAGAGTTTATCTTAGTTCTCATGCCCACAGATAGTGTGGGCACAGTTCATTTACAGCAAGGTGTGGCTTTCACAGTTATTTTGGTCTTGACATTTGTCGTGTATATACATTTTTCCACATTATTACTAGGGTGCAGAATAAGTGCAGGGCAAATTATAGGAAAAAAGGATAAACATTCAAGTCGTCATACCCTGAAAAAGTGTGTTAGGCTGTAGTTGTAAACTTTTTGCACTAAATCCCATTTCAGGAACAAAATAAATAATACCATAGGATTCACAACTGAAGGTGGCTTCCTGATGAAGCCTAAGGAAGCAGTAGCTTTTTTTTAAACTGCAGAAAGGACGTTTCTCTCACCACAGATTTACTCAGGGCAAGTGGAAATGCATGTCAAGAATGCTTACCCTTGTTAAGTGCTAGACAGCTCCCCCTTCAGCAAAACCACAAGGCTCTGGCAGCCTGTTCAGACCTACTTCCAGCAATAAGATGATTCTTGGATCAAAACCACAAAAGTCAGCTGGTGCTTCCACTGCGACACCATGCAGACAGCCTGAACTCTAACTGGTATTAAATGCACAATTAATAACAATTACTTTTAGGAAAATAGATGATTCATGATGGTGGGAATAGAACCAGCGGATGAAAGAGAGAGGAAGGACGCGTGCTCACGACCGGATGGTCTGCATCCTATTGAGGATGTCGCCTGTAACAGAGAGATTCAGGTGGTTTGATCCCACCCAGGCAAAGAGGCAGGTTAGTCAGCTCCGTTACTGGGGATTTCTAGTCTCCTCTGGGCAGAGCTGGCGTTTCGTGACTGATTCCTTTCTCTTCTCTTAAGGGCAAGGTCTCCGAAGCTGCCAGGTGTCTTGAAAAATGTCTCCCGCTGTGTGCATTGGGTGCTCTTGGGGGTCACTGGAACTGGTGACTAAACAAAAAAGAGTAAAAACAGATGTGAAGTCAAACTGTTTTCAGTCTCTGAACCGGAAGGAAGCCCTTCCTTGCCCTTTGTCACTATGATCCCGATGGAGGCGTTTCCCTCCTCTTCGCTTTCCTGTCACGCTCATCCCATTTTTCTTCTCTACGACACTTATCACAATTGGAAATTAAATCCATTTATTTTGGGTGCAGACAGGCAGTTTACCAAAGAAGTTACCAATGTGGCACCTAGAGCCAGGGTCTGGGCTCTGTCATAGCTATCTGGGTGACCTTGGGCAAATTACTTAATCAACCTGTCTCATAGTTTCTTCATCCCTGCAATGGGGATGATAAAAGTACTGACTTAATAGGGCTGTGAGAATTAAACGAGACCATATTTGTAAAGCACCTTAGAGCATGTGAAGCAACTAGTAAGTGTATGTGTGTTGGATCTTTCTGTTTACTTGCTAGTATTTATCCTCTCATGTTAAATATTAAGTATTTATCTCCTAAATGTGCTCTAAAATGGCCGGGACCATTATCCTAGTTACTATTTCTTCACTGCCTAGATAGGTGCCTGGCACATAACTGATGAGCAAAAAGCATTATGTTATGCTATAATCATCTTGTTTAAAAGCTAACCTGTTTATTTCAATGTCTAGCAAACCTCTGAGCCTCTGAATAACTTGTCTAAAATATTTTTTGGTCAAACAACTCTTTCTCTAGGAGAGTAAGTAATCACTCTGAATAATGCCTAATGGGTAAGGGGAATTCAACACATATTTATTGACTGAACTATTAATGGAATTTGGGGGACAAATACAGCACTAATTAACTTACATTGATTATATACCTGTATGTATGTACATTTTTATGTTTTATGAGTATACACACACACACACATTGCCTCTAAACATCACATTTTAAGAAATAGCTTATGCTAAGAATCTTTGAGTTAGTATCAAGATTTTTGTTTCCATTGATTGCCTCTATAGTTGTACAATTAAAATTTAGGGTGGTTTCTTTCATTGACCTAATAAAAGCTTGAGATCACAGAAATCATCTAAATATTCAGCATTCCTCAAAAATCCTCCTGAACTATGCCTATAATAGGCCCCCTCTAATTCTAAGAAGAGAATGACAAAAACATATTTTTTTTGTCTTTAAAGCAGAGGATTTCTTGTCTCATGCTTCAGTGCTTCACAAAACAAGAAGATAACTCTGGGTCTGCAATGGAAGCTATGTAGAGCCTGTCCTAGAGCCTCTGTCCTACAGACACGTGGCTAAAATGAAGCTAATTTAACCCAGGCACAGTCCATCCCAGAGTGATAGAGTCTTCAGGACAACTTTAGGTCTTACCTGTTGTAATTTTACTACTGAGACTGGATGTCCCACGTAAATGGGGGACTCAGGTTGCTGGATGATATTGTGTGACCTTGATATCACCGGACTCAGGTTAAGTGAGGGCTGACCCTGGAGCTGAGGGTCTGTAGAAGGGAGTGTGGACGACTTTGGATTAACCATGGCTGCAGGGCTGACAACAAGATGAGGTGTTGATCCAAGGCCAGGCAAGCTGAAATTCACAGGTCCTGTGTTTGGGAGAACACCAGGAGTGGAAGAAACCGGGCCAGGCATTGCAGGAGAATAGACAACAGGAAAAGGGCCCAGAGTCGGAGATGGTAAGACCATGCAAGGAACGCTGAAGGACGGCAGCTGACCTGAAGATGGGCCCACAGTATGAGGGGTTTGACCGCCAGATAAGAGCACATTGAAACCATTTAATCCTGCAACAGAAACAGAACAAAGTGAAGATCAACACAACATGAGGATACCATTCAAGCTCACATTGCTCATGGCCCTTTTGAAAGAAAGTCCATAATAAATCAAAGAATGATGAAACCCTGACCAGGCCAAGTAGTCCCATCCCACTCCTGCACAGCAGTGGCCAAGACTGTGATATCACATTGACCTGTGCGATCATTTGGTTGATGCCTGCCAAGGGATCTTAATGGGAGTTCCACTGAACTCCAATCGAGGAGGAGGGACGCGAAACTTGGATGGGAGTAATGACATCTTTACTTTTATAAACTTCCAACTGAAAATTTGTATTTCCCTCAATTATGATCACAGGCAACAAATCACAATAGTATTAATGGTACCTTGACTTCATCACTGGTAAAAAGTACAGAAATGTTCCTATTATATCATAGCTAGTACAGATTTCTTAATACCCCGTTGAGCTAATTATTAGAACATGGAGATTATGAAAGTACTGGACTTGTTGCCAGATCTCTTTATTATGATAACTAATTTTGAAAATTGTTTTTCTAATTATAATCAATCTAACTGGCTTCCTTTGTAATCTTATGTATTTAATTCTATACATCTGTAAACATTTTGAGGAGGAATCCTTGGGCTTCACCAGACTGTCAAAGGTCCATGGCACAGAAAAAGTTAAGAATCCCTGTGTTGGGCTGTAATTTTCACTTAGCAGGGACTGAGTCTGTTTTTGTTCATCAGTGTATCCCCAATACTGAGTATCATGCTTAGAATAAGCACACAAAAAATATTTGCTGATCGAATAAATCTAGATAAGTGAACAATAATAAATACCTACCTAACCTGTTCTGGCAGGTTAGGCTTAAGCCAGCAAGCAGTCAAGGAAAATCACATAAGTAGCTTTGCATCAAGAGCAGCTTTATGTACATAGTGCATATCTTAAAAATTAAGTATCTATCATATTTCAGCTTTAATTCAAAATAGTAACAACATTTATTCTTACTAAAGGCCAAGCACTATTATTCTAAGTGCTTTAGATATATTATCTTATTAAATTTAATTCAGTTTTCATAGCACCCCCATGAAGCAGGTACTGTTAGTATTGCTATTTTACCAATGAGGATGGCTGAATACTTAAGTTCATGCAGATAGTAAGTGGTTATAAGTGTCAAGCCCTCTTACATTAGACCCGGTGCTCAACCATGATGATATCCTCAGTACTTCTAGGAACACAAGAGCTCAGAATGCTAGCTGTGCATAATGGCTAATAGATTCATACTATTATACTAAGCCAATGCCAGATTCAGCTGCATTATAAAAACAGAATCATGTCTTGAATCTGTTGGGCTTTTTCACCAAATGATGTTTAATGTATTTTTTTTTAAATCACCTGCCCTAATTATTTTCTCATTATCCCTGAAGTTGGTGAAAGTAGAAGCAGCTTCTCCCTTCATTTTATAGATGGAGAAAACAAGGGGGCCAAGAGTAAAGTGACTCAGAGGCAGCAGACAGCAGCATATCAATGAACCACTTTTGTCAGGTAACACAAACATTTAAAAATCCAATTTAGGATCTGACTACTACCACAAGGGACACTAAGACACGATGACATCCCTTACCGGCTGGAGACTGCACATAAAGATATTGCAGCAAAGAGGACTCTTTGGTGTTTTCATTTTCTTTTGAAGGCTTTTCAACATCTGTATTTCCTGAAGGATTTCCCCACTCAGAAGAAGCAAAGCAGTTTGCCGTAGCCTTTCCTGAAGCCTCGTGTGCAGCAGGGAGCTGGCCATTCCTGTGAGTGTCTTCGAGAGGTGTGGATGCCCTGCCACCCAGAGTCTTGGGCGAGGAAAAATCTGGGGAATCTGAGGGTTTCTAAGCACAACCAAACCAGGAACCAGAAAAATCCAGTCAAAATTCCAGTAGTAAATCTTAATACCTGCTTTCTCAACATGGCTAACAAACACTAAAGTAAAACAGAGCTATGTGCTGTGCTAATTTTGTGTATGTACATTGTTTTAATTCTATTTATAGGAACGTTCTGAAAATAAATGTTATGTCACATGTATCTATAGGCTTATGATTTAGAAATGATAGAGATTTTAGTAATGGAAAACTGGCCGTGGTGTTTAGACTGTAAAATTTCTGAGCTGGTAACAAACACAGGGTGTTGATGCTACAGTCTTTTGGGGGCCTTATAAGAACTGTGGGCTGGCCCAAGCTGTCTTGGTTAGCTAAGACATATGCCAGTCAGTCTATCACGTCTGACCTGCAACTCAGGCTATATACAAAATGAGAAAAATTCACTCTGGCAAGAGAAAGAAGCAGAGGAGAAAGGTTCCTAATTAATGGAATGATTTCCATGAAGTGTGCCTGGCTGACCTACTGCAAACTGCAGTGATGACAGAGCTTCTGCTTTCTGAGAGTTTTACTGGTCATATCTCATTAACTTCTGCGTGGCTACCAAGTGGGAGATGTGGACAGCTCATATTTTTGTTTTTTCCATTTTGTAGCTAGGGAAACAGGATCACTGGGCAATGAAGAGAACTGACCAAGCACAGACCCTGACTCTGGAACTCAGTTGCATCCTGGATTAAGATGATTATTTCAGTGATCCCAACTTGTTTAAAAAAAAAAAGGGATGCACAAAACATTGGGAGAAATGTACACACATGTTAACATAGTGATTGCCTCTATGTGGTGGGATTATGGGTAAGTTTTTTCCTTCTTCATACTTTTTAGCATTTTATACAAAGTGTGACTTTTATAAAAAATCACTTTTTTTACAGTACTATTTTGAGGCAGGGCTTTTGGGAGAGCCAGTCCAGGTGCTTAATTATGCAAGTGACACATGAACTAGCTTATATTCCAGACTCCATTGCTTATTAGTATCTGTGTGTCTCCACTAGGAAGAAGCTCAGGGCCAGTGGGATGTCACCAGACACATCCACCTGCACTCTCTTACCTTGGGCATGACGAGCGACAGGGGGCTGTCTTCGTATTCCCTACTTTGTCTTTTCGTGGCCGGCTCACCCTCCTCCTCAGGCTTCCTCTCCTCACAGAGGCGCTTCTGAGTCGGGGGTACAATTAACAGCTCTGTTGCAGTTGGGGCTTCCGAACTTCTGCCATCCTTCTCTGACCCTGACCCTGACCCTGGGGACGGCCCCTCCTGCAGGCTCCCACACAGCATGAACAGGGAGGGGGAGGGCACGTACACCAAGGGCTGGCCAGCAAGCAGAGCTGGCTTCAAGCTCTCCATGGCAGAGGCTACAGAAGCGAGTGAGACGTTTACTTGTCCATTCAGGCCATTCTGCCCGGAGAATGCCTGCAGGTCCGTCTGAGCAACAGGAAATACTGGGTGGGTTAAAGGATTGACACAATATTCTGAATCAACAGAGAGGACAGGGAAAGGAATGGCAGGGTCCAAGCAGCTTGACGAAGGCCTCACTCCCTTACTGGCAAGGGCTTTTCCCCTGTAATAAAGAGAAATATAATGAGTACCATCAAGTTGGCACATTTGGCCAACTCCTGACCCTTCGCTTCCCCAAAGAGCCATACCAAGTGAGAAGTGAGATAATACTGCTCAGGCGGATATTAAAACACAGTCCCCGAGCATATATTATCTCACCCCAGAGCCAAATGACCAGGTACAGCCTGGATGGATGGGTAGGGTTTGGGGAGGGAGAGCCAATGTGGGAAGAGCCGTTGGAATCTCAGGCGAGAGCTAACCCTGGTTCCTCTTCCTTCTTTTCCCCATCTAACAGTTATTAATTACTGAGCACTTACTCCCTTGCCAGGCATGTAGATACTATTAGGATTAGCATAATATTATAGTGATTTTATCCAATTAAGCTCATCATAGCTACATAATAGCTCATAATAATCATCTCCCCTAGTTTACCAGTGAGGAAAACAGAAGCTCAGAGGTTAACCTGCCTAAGGTGAGCCGGGTCTACAGTGGGGAATCTGGGCCCCACACCCACATCTGCTTGATGGCAAAGCCCCCATTCTTAGTCACTATGAGAGATCCCGGGGGGACAACAGAGACTGGACCAGACTTTGACTTAGAGAAAGACTAGTTATTCTCAAACCCAGTGTGAAATAAATGAAGTGGGCATTGAGCGAGGAAACAGACTTAACTACTAAATTATTATTTTCTTTCCTTCTTGTCCCATTCTGCTCAGTATTACTAAAGAGTTTTTGAGCAGCATGTGTTCAAAATTAAGTCTCATCAATATATGAGATCATAAACAATGGCTTGGCCTTTTATATAGACAAATTTCCAAAGATTCAAAACCACATTTATGTTTTTAGTATACTTTTAGGAATAGACGAGGAAAATACTTTAAAATAGTTAACAGAGGACAGGAATTTTTTTCAGCCTTTCTGATGGAAACATGGAGACCTATTTTTCCACCGTCTCACTGTCCATTGTCCTGCCGGGAATAAAATGGAGTGCCCTGGGCTGCAGAGACGAGCCATCTCTCCACGCACAGCTCCCTGAGTGAGGGATCGGCATTGCTCAGCTCTACAAAACTCAGCACGCCCACACCGAGTACATCACCCACCACCGTGCCCAGCGGTCACCTTCAACCTCCCCATCTCCACCAACAGTGGCACCCTCACCCGACACCCAGATGTTCTCTTTGATGCTTTTGTCTACTTTATCGAGTCTTGCTGACTCACTGTCTCATGCTGATTTCCCTTTCTTTCCATCTCCAGCTGACATGGCTTAAATCTGCCCTACAGCAGACCAGAAAGACTACAAATGCTCTGTTCCGCATCTGCTGCTCTAGAGCCTTTCTCTACTTCTACTCCCACCTCCTAAAAGCAGCCAGAATGATCTTCCTCAGTGAGCTTTTAATAGTTCTTTATTGTTCCTGTGATCAATTCAAACTCTTCTACTTGGCTTTCAGAGCTTTCTGCCAACTTGACCTACTTACCTCCAGTACCTAAGCTCTGGTTCTGAATGACTTTTCCTTTTACTATCCTATCTGGACAAAGCATTACTAATCAGCTTTGGGTCCCTCTACTCTTTGACCCTGCCTTATAATCTGTTTCTTCCCCTGTCATTAAAAACCTCCCTCGTTCTCTCTTTGGCATTTCTTCTGCTTTCTCTGATGTTATATGATGTCTTTCAAAATCAGAACCCAAATTTAAGTCAGACAGCTTGGGTTTGTAGGCTAGCTCTGTCCCTTATTAGCAATGTGACCTTGAACAAGATACTTAACCTCTTCAGGTTGCAGTCTCCTCTCTGTAAAATAAGGATAACAGTACCAACCTCAAAAGATTGTTATTGTGATCAGATGGGTGAATACACATGAAAGCCCTTGGAACAGTACCTGGTAGTCCATAAAAAGCTAGCTATGATGACAGAGTGATTTATGAGAGGGTGATGCTCAGTGTCATGTTGGTAGTGAAATGTCTTTTTCTAGTGCATTTATCTTTTTATTTTGTTTCCTATCAGCTATCATAGCTTACAGGATAAATTTTTCATACTTTTGTATCCTGAATGCTATTCCCACACAGCGTTTGGCACAAAAAGGACACTTATCAACTCTTAATAAACAAATGGCTAACAAATTTTATCTTTTAATGGGTGGCATTTCAATTTAGTCAAAGTTAACACTAGGAAATAGAAAGAATATGTGTTTTCCTAGACTACTTACTGTGAATTGTCTTCTATTTTCTGTCTGTAGACAGCTGCTAGACTTCCAATTTCTAAAGAGTAGCCACCGGATCCTGAAAAGGAAAATGAAGGTTTAAATACAGAAAGAGATTTATGCACACCAATTATATACAGCAGAATTCATCATTCTCAGCTCTGGGATTATAAGAGTATCTCAAATCCATTCTGGTTTTGATTAAAAGACAGAAATTTCCAGAAGCTAGCTGTTCTGGTGAACTCAGGCATCATAAAAAATTAGTAAGAAACAAAGTTAAGTGTTGCTTTGTAAGTCTGATGAATTTCTGAGACACATCAAACATGCCAACCACTGCAAGCCCTCTGATCTTCAAGGCTGACCAGGGTCAATTTTAGGCATGGGGCCATCTTCACACACTGCGAAGTCAGCATCTCCTTTGCAACCAATAATTGTTTCACTTTAGTCCAGTAAAAAGTAAGCCTCTGGAAACAGGCAGGGCCTAGAGAGTTAGCTCATATTAAAATGCCAGCACGTGGGTAGGGCTACAATTACATGGCAACTGATGGATTCCATGGATTAAGCAAGGGCAAGATACCTTGTTCTTCTCTGTACGGGCTGCTGGGTTCCGAGTTCACCTTCCTCTGGATCCTCTCAGAAGCCTGAACTGTGTTAAAAGAAGCATGACGAGTCAGCTTCTGTTTTGCACAGACTTGAATCTCGCCATATGTTTCTCTTTTCAATTCTGGTAAGACAGATGCAGAAACATCCACTAGTTCTTCATCTAAATAAATGAGAGAATTGGTAGTGTTCTTATACAGCTACAATCCAGGATAATTTTAGTATTTTAAAGAGATAGCTTTGAACCTATAATTGCAGTGGAGCTACCCTATAAATCAAAGGAATTTTATGAGCCTTGCCTCAAACCCCAATTTCTTTCACTAATTTTTTTTTTCAAAAGTTAGTGGATGACTATAAAATGAGATTGAATCCATATATTCTCAAATTATCTGAACTGCAACAAAAGTAGAGCAAGATGTTCTTCAACCCAAATTAGAATGAGCTCGGCATTTTAGATGCTCCATTTGAGCAGAGAATATCAAAGGAAAATCCGAGTATGCTCAGCCCAACATGCAGATTTTGAGACTTGCTTTCAAGATTAATTGAGACCAGCCTCCTATGCCACAGACCTAGGGCAATGAATATAGAATCTCTATTTTCTATTAGGCTTTATTATTTCTTTCTTATGCAGAGGAAGCTCAGTTACTAAGTGACCAAAGAAATAAGTTCAGCAGAAATCTCATGGTTAAAATGCTGTAGAACAGTGAGGATATTAGAAGGTTGGGTGGGCCTTGGAGGCATATTTTGTGCTTTAAGAAGCCTGTGTGAAGTCCAGATAGAATATTCTATATGGACTCAGGCAGCCATCCCTGTTGTCTAGATAGTCATTCCTACCTTGTTCACGTGTGCTAATTTTTTTAAGCTTAAAGCATGCACGTTTTAATTATAAAACTGATTTAATAAACTGAAAGGCCCAGCTAGACTTACATTTTATAAAACACACACTTTCACGTTAATGTAACTTTAAAATGGAAAAAAAATTACCTTTAGGTTTTCTTTTTCTTATAACAAAAGCCCAATAAATGGTCATTTTAGAAAAATGAGAAATTACAAAACCAAAAAAAAAAAAAAAAATAGGTCAAGCTAGTAACAGGGACCATATATGCCTCCTTCCTGATACCTGTAAAATATTGGACAAAATATATAAAACAATGGCTCTTAAGACACTGGACGTCAGGACACGAAGGTCAGTGATCCCTTAGAGACAGGAATCCAATGAGGTGAGCTCTATGATTGTTCTAGCTTACTGTGTGGAGAATGTTTCTAGGTTGCAATGCAGGGAAGGGGAGCTAGACAGAGTGTGGTGGTCCCCCTAAGTTGAAGATGCTGCCGGGAGTCCTGAAAAACGAAGGCTGCTAGAGTTTGCAGGGCAGAATGCTGGAGAGGAAAGCTTACAGAAAAAGAATGCTGGGGTCTACAGAGAGTCCCCCTCAAACGTTCAGTGGAGTACTGATGCATGTGAGAAAGCTACCCAAGGCCAGGGAAAGCACCACTCAAAAGGAGTGGAGGGAACAGTGTCTGCAGCTCATATAGGGCTGAGGACAGTGCCTGTTGCCAATAGCTGCAGTGGGAAAACCTCATAATTCAGGGAGCCTTGGTCAGAGCACTAAAAAGGGTGTGTCAGTAGTGGAGAAAATGTGCTGAACTAAATGCTGATAGTGTCCTGTCCAGAGAAGCTTAAAATCAAGACCCAAAAGGATCACTGTTTCTGTGTAACTCCACTGCATCCCAGAATAAATCTCAAGAACATTTTTAGGGACATGGAAATGTCAACCACCTAACAAAGTATAATTCTCAGTGTCTGGCATATAATTAAAAGTTACCATGTACATAAAGAAGCAAGACAATATTACCCACAATGAGGAAAAAAATCAATTGAAATTGACCCAGAAGTATAGTTAGAGCAGCACATTAAAACAGTTATTAGAATTGTATTCCATAAATTTAAGAAGCTAAGGGAAAGACTGAATATGTTAAATAGAGATATCAAAAATACAAAGGCCCTAATCAAACTATTAGAGATAATGCAGTGATGGAGGTGAAAAATGCAGTGTATAGGATTGATGGCAGAATAGATACTGCAGAAAAAAAAATTAGTGAACTTGAAGACATACCAATAGAAACTGTACAAAAATGTAACACAGAGAGAAAAAAGACTGAAAGAAATGAACAAAGCATCAGTGAACTGTGGGACAACTTTAGGCAGTCAAATACAAACATAAATGGAGTTTCCAAAGACAGAAGAAAAAATATTTGAAGAAATAATGGCTGAACATTTGCCAAATTTGATAAAAACTTTAAATCAATAGGTCCAAGAAGCTGAAGAAACACAAGCACAAGAAACATGAAGAAAAGCACATGAAGTTGCACATCATCAAATTGCTTAAAATCAGCTACAGAGATTTAAATGATTTAGATGAAATAAACATATTAAAAGCAACCAGGGAAAAATGACACATTACATACATAGTAACAAGATGATGGTAGATTCCTTGTCAGAAACAATGCACACTAGAAGATGGTGGAGCAATTTCTATAAAGAGCTGAAAGAAAAAAACATTCAACCTAGAATTCTTCACCCAAAGAAAATATTTTTTTAAAAACAAAGGAGAAACTTCTGTGCATGTCTTTTGCCTACTTTTTAATGGGGTTGTTTGAGTTTTCCTTGCTGATTTGCTTGAGTTCTTTGTAGATAGATTCCGGTTATTAGTCCTTTATCGGATGTATAGCTTGTGAATATTTTCTCCCACTCTGTAGGTTGTGTTTGCTCTGTTAATTATTTCCTTGGCTGTGCAGAAGCTTTTTAATTTAATAAAGTTCTATTTATTTATTATTGTTATTACTGTGAGTGCCATTATGGTCTCCTTTAAAAATTCTTTACCTAGGCCTATATCTAGAAGAGTTTTTCCCACATTTTATTCTAGAATTCTTATGGTTTCATGCCTTACATTTAAATTTAAGTCCTTTATGTATCCTGAATTAATTTTCATAAGTGGTGAGAGATGGGGATCATGTTTCATTCTTCTGCATGTGGCTATCCAATTCTCCCAGCACCATTATTGAATAGAGATTCTTTTACCGGGTATATACTGCTGTCTGCTTTGTCAAAGATCAGTTGGCTGTATGTGGATGGTTTTGTATCTGGGTTTTCTGTTCTGTTCCATTGGTTTAAAATGGCCAATAAACATATGAAAAGATGCTCAATGTCACTAATCATCACGGAAATGCAAATTAAAACCACAATGAGATATCACCTTACTCCAGTCAAAATAGCCTTTATTAAAAAGTCCAAAACGAACAGATGCTGACATGGTTGCAGAGAGAAGAGAACATCTGCACTTGATTGTTTATTGCAGCACAATTCACAATTGCAAAGATGTGGAATCAACCTAAGTGCTCATCAACTCATGAGAAGATTAACAAAATGTGGTATATGTATACCATGGAGTACTACTTAGTCATAAAAAAGATGGATTAATGCCTTTTGCAAACATTTAGATGGAACTGGAGACCATTATCCTAAGTGAAGAAGCCAAAGAATGGAAAAGCAAACTCCACGTGTACTCACTACTAAATTAGAACTAATCGATGAGCACACATGTGCACAGAGGAAAGTAAAACTCAATAGAAATCAACCAGGGTGGAAGGGGGAGGAGGAAAGGGGAGAAAATCTACCTAATGGTACAAGGAACAGTTTATGGGTGATGGGCACTCATAACTATGACTCAAGCATTATAAAAGTGATTCATGTAACCAAAATTACTTGTACTGTGTAATAATTTGATATTAAAGAAAAAGAAGAAGAAATGAAGATGTTTTCAGACATATAACAGCAGGAAGAATTCATGATTGGCTGGTCTACACTGTCAGAAATGTTAAAGAAAGTAGATCAAGCAGAAGAAAAATGATACTTGATGGAAACCTACATCTACAAAAAGGAATGACAAGCACTGGAAATGGTAACTATATGGGTAGACAAAAAAATTTTTTCTTCTTGTAATCACTTTAAAAGACAACTATTTAAAGCAAAAATAACAACCATGCACTATGAGGTATATAACATATACAGCAGTAAAATGTTTGACAACAATAGCACAAAGGCCAGGCAAGGAGAAATAATAGTATCTTATTGTAAGGTTCTAATATATGTAGTATCACTTGAAAGTAGACTGACAAATTAAAGATGCATATTATAGACCATAAAGCAACTGTTAAAATAACAAAACAGAGTTATAGCCAAAAAAAAAAGTTATAGCCAGTAAGCCAAAAAAGGAGATGCAACGGAAGCATAAAAAATAATATATCCAAAAGAAAGAAAAAGAGGAAAAAGAAACAATGAGCAAATGGAACAAATGGTATACAAATAGCAAGATGATGGATTAAAATCCAAACACATCAAGAATCACATTAAATGTAAATGGTCTAAACCAGTGGTACCCAACCTTTTTGGCACCAGAGAGTTTCATGGAAGAGAATTTTTCCACAAACAGGGGTCAGGGTTGGGGGGTGGGATGGGGATGGTTTCGGAATGATTTTTTAAGCACATTGCATTTATTGTGTACCTTATTTCTATCATTATTACATTGTAAGACATAATGAAATAAATATAAAACTCACTGTGATGCAAAATCTAGTGCCACCACTGATCTGACCAGAGGTGGCGCTCAGGCCATGATACGAGTGATAGCTCCGCTTGCTGGCCCACCACTCACCTCCTGCTACGCGCCCATTTCTAACAGGCCACAGACCCGCACCAGTCTGTGGCCCAGGGGTTGGGGACAGCAGGTCTAAACAACCCAATTGAAGATCAGAAATTGTCAGATTAGATTAAAAAAAACAACTCAACTATATACTGCCCACCAGAAACTCACCTTAAATATAGATGCAAATTGTTTAAGAGCAAAAAAGGTGAACAATATATACCATGCTAATTAATCAAAAGAAAGCTGAAGTGACTATATTACTATCAGATGAAGTAGATTTCAGAGCACAGATTATATCACCAGAAATAAGGAGGGTCATTTCATAATGAAAAAAAGGGTCAGCTCATCAAGACACAGTGATTCTATGCAGACAGAGCTCATGACAGTTTCAAGATACATGGAAAACTTGATAGAACTGCATGAAAAAATAGACAAATCTGCAACTATAATCAAAGATTTCAACGTCCATCTATCAATAACTGATAGAACAAGTAGACATAAAATCAGTAAGGCTATAAAAGAATTTAAAAATACTATAAGCCAACTTGACTTAGTTGTCATTTATGGAACATTCCACTCAACAACAGAATACACATTCATGAAATATTTATCAAGATGGTCCATATCTGTACCATGAAACAAATCTCAATAAATTTAAGACTATCAAATTATACAAAGTATGTTTTCTGATCACATGGAATGAAATTAGAAATCAATAAGAAAAAGATTACCTAGAAAACTCTCAGAATATTTGAAAACTATAACATACATTTAAATATAATATGTGGGTCAAATTTTATTAGAAAAGAAAAAAAGTCTCAAATTAATGACTTCAGTTTCTTTTTTTTTTTTTTTTCAGACAGAGTCTCACTGTGTTACCCAGGCTAGAGTGAGTGCCGTGGCATCAGCCTAGCTCACAACAACCTCAAATTCCTGGGCTCAAGCGATCCTCCTGCCTTAGCCTCCCGAGTAGCTGGGACTACAGGCATGCGGCACCATGTCTGGCTAATTTTTTCTCTCTATATCTTCGTTGGCCAATTAATTTCTTTCTATTTATAGTAGAGATGGGGTCTTGCTCTTGCTCAGGCTGGTTTTGAACTCCTGACCTCAAGCAATCCGCCTGCCTCGGCCTCCCAGAGTGCTAGGATTACAGGCGTGAGCCACCACGCCCGGCCAATGACTTCAGTTTCTACCATAAGAAACTAGAACAGGAGTGGCAAACCTGTGGCCATCTAGGTCCTTAAGTGTGGCCTTCTAACTGAATCCAAATTTTACAGAGCAAATCTTTTTATTTTTATTAATATATTCTTGTTCATCTTTTATATTTGTATTTCATATTTAAAAGGAACAGATTTAAAATACCAAAGAATAAAGTAAGTTTCAGTGAAATAATCCTCCCAGATTGACTAGCACAGCTAGAACATTAGTAAGCCATAAATGCTAAATTGATGGCTGCTATGCTTATAATTTAGTTCTAATTTCTCCTGCATGATTGGTACCACTACTGCATGAGGCTGGTTGGCGAGAGTTTATGGGGGTCAAGTATGCCAGACTGTTATCAGCTTTCGACAATGCTGCACTGTGTTTCTGTTTGAAGTGGAATTCGTGAACAGTTACACAGCTCACAGTATTTTTAAATTCTGTCTGCTTACTAGCCCATCATGTTGAAGAAGACCAAGAGAATGCTGAAGGAAGAAAACAGATTTTTTAATGAGTGGAAATTGCAATATTCTCTTGTTTCTTCTAAAGATAAGACAATTTGTTTGCTTTGTGATGCTGCAATATCAACAGTAAAGAAATTCAATGCTCATTGCATTATAACACCATAAGGACAACAAATACTTTAGAGGGAGAGGCTGGAAGGGTTGTACTGCAGAAATTAAAAGATGAAAAGCATAGACAATTCTTTTAAGCAGCAATAAAACCTGGGAATAATGCCACTGAGGCAACTTATAAAGTAGCTTATATACTTGGGAAAAAAAGGGAAGCCATTCAGTGGTATAGAAATTGTGAAAGAATGCATTGTCAAAACTGTAGGATGCTTAGACCATGATGTTTCAATACAAATGACTGCCTCTTACAAAGAGAACCATAACTGATCAGCAGCATGAATTAGTCTTCAACTTAACTGAATAACTTCATGCAATACTTCAAAAGTATATATTATTCAATCACTTTGGATGAATCAACTTGATACCACTGACTCAGTGTAGATTTTATACTTCATTCAGGTCATAACAGAAGATTTTCTTTGTTTTTAAGAGTTACTCACTTTGGGCACTCTTGTGAACAGAACACAGGGATTGCAGGTATGGAATCTGTGAATCATGAGGATTGACTATATCTGATTCACTTATAAAAATATCTAGAAAACACAAACAAATATAGAGTTACAGAAAGCAGATGAGTGGTTGCCTGGGGATAGGAGTTGGGGCCCGAAGGGAGGGATTACAAAGGAGCAGGAAGTGACTTTTGAAGGTAATAAGTATGTTCATTTCCTTGACTATGATGATTATTCTACAGGTGCACACATATGCAACAGCTTATCAAATTGTAACTAACTTCCTGACATAGTTTGTATCTCACTGACCCCTCAATAATGCTGTTAAAAAGAAGAAAACACCCATGCATAAAGAACGATGCCATGCTGGTGGGAAAGGAGAAGAGGAGAGAGACATTTATGAGATTTAACTGTGAGGAACTGCCGCCTGAGGGGTGAAGGAGAGCGGATCAAGGTGACTTGATCTTCTAAACTTGGTTGCTGGGTTGATGATGACATTATTAATAACAGAACTAGGAAATACAGAGGACCAGGTTTCTGAAGGGTAGAGAAAGTAAGTTCAATTTAAGGTTCCTGACCTGGCTCCAAACTCTCTTTCCCATGTCAGATCACAGAGTTCTCTCCAACGCTGTCCCCCCTGGTTGTACAACCAGGTGAACTCCCTGACTTCTCAACACCAGCTTATCTTCCCAGCTATCTTACTTCTTCCATGGCACCAACCACCTTTGAGTCCTTCCTCTCTTTTAATCTCTATGTCCAAAGACTTGTCAATTCTGCCTATCACATCCAGTCCAAAACTCTTGGCTCACTTTTGAGGCCTTCCAAAAATGTGGTCCCAACTGATCATATTGTATATCTCATTATTCTCTATCCTATGCTCTTCACTTAAATCAGGGTACTGATCTCTCCCGCATATTCTTTCATCCCTCCAAAAGCCAAAAGTCCATCAAATTTAACCTGTATCCTTTCTGAAGTCCAACAGAGCCAGTACCACCCTGTCTAGCACTTAATGGCTCTCTAACTTTCAAACCTGTGCTAATTTCCACACCTTCAACAGAAGCTCATTGACCAACTAAAGTGAGTAAGGCACTGTTCTGGGTACTATGGGATAATCAAAGAGCAATTAAGATGATGCCTGGCCTCAAATGTGGAGGGCAGCAACAACAATGCAATATCAACTCCACCAAGCACGATACTAAATTGCAGTCATTCCAAGGAGACACTCTTTGCTCTGGGCGATTGGGGAAAACTTCACGTACAAGTTGACACTCGAGCCAGATCTTGAACATTGAGTAGAATATTTTTGTGTCAAAAAGAAGAGGGCTTCACATGTGAAAGAAAAAAATAGAAGCCAAAGGCAGAGAGGCAGAAAATGGCAAAGTTGTATATTTCATGCAGGCGGGGACAGTGTCACCCACATCTTAAATCTCTCATGGCATTTGGTAAAATAATCAGCAAACTGCCCACACTAAGTACTTACTGGGTTGAATTAGTTATACTTGATTTTAAGTGGTTTCATCTAGATCCTAAGTGAATAATGTGTTATAAGTGAGGTGGAGAGCGGTATCTTTATAAGCCTGGGTTAAGTGGCACAAATTTATACCACAAACACCAAAATTGGAAGGGTAATTTAAAAATAGCTTTAATGGCTTTTTCCCAGGCAGCAAGCTGTATGTAAAACAGTTGGTGCAGTAGGATCTATTCCCTGATTACTCAGATATTACCTGTGACATAGCAGAAGATAATGTCCTATTTAATCCAGTTAAGTAAAACCTTGACATCTGTAACCTTTTAAATAAATTACAACAAAAGGTGTCCACTAAATCCACACTATATTTAGATGCAATCTTACCACATATTAGTTATCCCGTATTAGTTTTGTGATAGTTATTTGATGTCATTTTACATTATCTATAATTTCAAATAAAAACCATATTTTATTCTGCTAATGTAGAAACAACCACCAGTGTTCAAAAGAATATCGTTTTTAATTCTCAGTCCCAAACTTCCAGGAAAAGGCTTTGGAACAAAATTTAAAAACCTAAAAAGCTATAATTTTGTAGTTACGGAAACCCCCACATACATGCTTTCAGTATTTGCCTTCCTAGTGTGTGTGAGCCAACTGGCACACACTATTTGTAGGCTAATGCTCATTCTTCCAAAAGTGAAGCCACTAGTCTAATTTTGTACGTGATGTGGGTTATGGGAAAACAAGGAGATCAGTCTCACTGGGTAGTAGATGTCTGATTTAGAGAAGGAAGTGGGGATTACCAATGAAACAGATGGCTAGCAAATGAAGCCACCTTACCGCTGGAGCTAAAGTCCACAGGCCCGATCCATTTGAAGGCTGGTTTACGGCCTCGCTCTTCTGTTACATGCACTTTCTTTATCAGCGCCAAGCTGGTCAGAACATTGGCTATATCATAGAGGCGTCGTACCTTTGCTTGAAGATATAAAACACAATTATGGTCATGCCGTCTGCGACCCCATTACATTTTTAGTTTATGTGACAGGTAACTTTTCTCAGCCACCATAAAAACCTCAAGCGGAAAGCAGTGGGGTGGGACGAGGAGACCAATGACTCTGTCATGAAATCACCCAGGATTTTATGTGTCTGCGGTATCTGAAGACATATACCAAGGGAAGGTCAGTGTGTCATTCCATTTCCACAACTTCACACCTCTTACAAGAGGCACCTGGTGACAAGCAGGGAGCACTGGGATTGTGAAAACATCAAGGGAGTACATGGGCTGTAATTAAAGGCTTAGTAAATGTAATTCTGCTATAGCACATCAAAAGCTTGCCCTGCAGGAGATCATGGCACCAGCTCCACCAGGCAGCTGGTCTGTGAAAATAACAGGGATTCCCCACAGCTTTCTGCCAGGTTGCACTCCTGGGCACACAGGATGCCCAGGACTCAAGGTCACAAGGTACAACTGCGCTGAAGACAGGCAGCTCCTCACCTGAAATCCTGGCATTCTGGCCACTCAGTGGGAAGGGCTGGGCTGGGCTGGGCGTCCCCTGAATCTTAAGGGGTTTTGGGAGAGATACCTGCATATGCACTTACTAGAGGAAAAACTCAGAAGGGGTGGTAATACATTAAACAGGCAGGATGATGACCACAAAGTATTTTTGATTCAAGAAATCTATTTACAGGTAGGAAACCCAATTGATCTCAATGCTAAGATTAAAAGAGTTTTGCTTATTGTCCAGAAACATCAAGCATTCACCCCAGCTGCAGCTTTCTGCTTCCCAGTCCTGACAGGGCTGGATTTTATCTAGCTATTTCACCTGCAGAGGGGCTGTAATTCCAGCTGGAAACAACAAAAAAGATAGAGAATGTTCAGCTCATGGCTTCCAGGGGCTTGAACAGGCTACCAGCAGCCCAGGGCATTTGGCTCGGCATCCAAGCTGGACGGAAGAGGAGGATGCACTAAGCATGAAGCTCAGGCACTTTCTCCCTGTCCAGCAGCCTTGACCCACCACCCTACCCTGGCCATTCCTCTGGGTCTTACCTTAGACAACTTTCATCTCCACCCTTCAGAAGAGTATGCAGGGGGTGGGGAAAAAAGGGGAAAGAAAACTCAGACATTCTGTCTTGGATGCAGCAACACTAAAGAGAAATGCAAAGTATTTCACACCCTCCCTGACTAGCGTTCTCAAGACAGCATTCTGCTTCTCACCATCCACTGTGACCGTCCAGGAAAGGCCTCTGACAGGCAAGAGGAATTCTAGTATGTGACTAACTTACCTCTCGCAGCAATGAAAACCTTTATGAGTGCAGGAAGGAGTATATGTCTCTCTCTACATATAACTTTTATCTCAGAGGTAGAAAATATCAACATATGAATCCTACCCTTTTTATGCTGACAAGTGGATTTAGGTGAAGATTCTTACTTTTAAATTTACTGTGGTCTGGGGTATCTTGGCTTTCTTCTATCAGAATTTTGGCAGCCACATCCAGAGTAACGATCTTGGTTTTAGAGACGAGGAACAGCATGACAAACTTCTGGCTCATAATTCTCAGAGACTTGTCTTTTCTACTGTTTGCTGATGCTACAAAGGGAATGAAACAAAAGCATCAAAACCTACGATTTTCTACGAGAAAGACTGCCCTTGCATTTGCCAGAACTATCTAGCTCTCCCAGCAGATGGAAAAAGCACCCTCTTTATAGGCAGAACCCTAGTGGACACACATCCCAAAAGTCAGCTCATAAAGAAATGAGCCAGATTTTCTTGTGGCTCATAAAATTACTCTAGAGTAGGTATAAACTCTGAAATGCATATTTGAAACCACTCTCAATGCTTTATACTTATACTTCATATAATAGAATCACAAGTGGCAGTTTTTCTGAAGCAACTTCTTGAAAAGATTAATGTAAGATAAAAAGACAGGGTAGGGATATAGAATTGTTTTCAGAACATCAACTCTCCTCTCAAAGGCAAGAACTCCATTTTTACTTCTCTGTACCCACAATATCTAGCTTATACCTTAAGCATAGTTGGTGCCCACCTCTCCCATTTCTTTTCAGAAACACATGAATCAATAAACTGTACATAAATAGGCTGATTAGCTGTGTGCTCCTGTGGAGGGCAGGCACACTGTCCCCAACAGATGGCTGTCTTCTCTGGTTATTAGGATAAGTCTTGGCTCATGGGGTGGAACTAAAAGGCATGAGGCAGTGAATCTAATGAAAAACCAGGCCCCCTTTTCTTTCCATTCCTATTTCTTATATTTGCAAGTGAAATGTGAGTGTGATACTTGTACTTTGTCATCTAAGCAACAGGGAGGAGGGTAAGAATGAAGAAGATCAATGACTGAAAGAAGAGGATAAATATGAGTTGGAAGGGAAGGACAATGCAGACAGGAATCAAAATTTCTGCCCCCAGTGAAAACAGGGGTCGTCTGTCTTTCTTATCAGCATTTTCTGCAAATGGGGTTCTTTTACAAGTAGCCTACTCCAATATACAATTAGATAAAAGTCTTTGAAAAGATCACTTCTTCGAAGTAAATTTTACTTAATGTCTCACAAAAGAAAACAGCATGGGGCTGTCAATCTAAAGGGAGTGCCGTTAGCGAGCGAGGGTCCCAACATGCCAAACACTGGTGAACTGCCATGAGACAGGTTTCAAGGGAGGTCGAGTGGGCAGCCCAGTTGGGAGCCATCTGTCTCCCTTTCTCCAGTAGAGAGAATAAGAGGACATCTCCCTCCAGGGCTTTCAATCTGGCACTTGCCATCTTAGCAGTGAAACTCTTCTGAAGAGACCATCACTGTCTCTCTGCCATTACTCATGAGGTTACAATGGACTCACAAGAGGGATAGTCGGGCTCAGAGAAATCCAATAACTGTGCATCTTGGGACTCTGGATAGCCATCTTTTTTACGTTCTCCAAATTTATAATCCATCAGGTCTAGCTCCTTCTGCTGGAGGTATGCCATCTGCTCTTCGTATTTCTGCTCCTCTCCCAGTCTCTGGAGGTTCCTCAGGGTCTTGGGCAGGCTGTGCCGTCCATGCCAGCCATACTGATTCTTCGCCACCCGGCTGACCACATGCAGTGACTCCAGCACATTTATAATGTCATAGATACGTCTCCTCTCCACACCTGTTTCAAAAACAGAAGCCAACAGACTTCACGCAGATGAACGTTTTTAAGTATAAATTAAAAACTGTGGACCGTGCCTGTGAACTACTTTGCATAATGACCACCAATGTAATGTCCAGCAAGTGTAGATGCTCAATAAGTTCAACCTGTAAGGATGGAAGCAACAAATTATTTTTCCTTTTCCTTCTTGGGATCCAACCCTCAAAAAGATCTAGGATAAATCACATGAGGTGTGACTGTACCACTGTACTCCAGCCTGGGCAACAGAGTAAGAGCAAGATCCCATCTTTTAAAAAAAAAATAAGTATTGGCCAGGCACAGTGGCTCATACCTGTATTCCTAGCACTCTGGGAGGCCAAGGTGAGAGGATCACTTGAACTCAGGAGTTTGATACCAGCCTGAGCAAGAGCGAGACCTCGTTTCTACTGAAAATAAAAAAAATTAGCTGGATGCCATGGTGTGCACCTGTAGTCCCAGCTACTTGGGAGGCTAAGGGAGGAGGATTGCTTAAGCTCAGGATTGTGAGGTTGCTGTGAGCTAGGCTGATGCCATGGCACTCTAGCCTGGACGGCAGAGTGAGAGACTATCTCAAAAAAATACCCAAACAAACAAAAAACGGTATTAACAGTGGTTAAGTTTGGGGCCCTGCAGTCAGATTGCCTGGATTTGAATCCTTGATCTATCCCTTACTAGCTGGGAAGTTACTTCACCTTTCTATGCCTTAGTATGTATCACATAAAATGATGAAGATTAGATGCAACCATACATGTAAAGTGTCCCCAGTTGGCATTCATTTTAAATAAATACGTTTGTAAATACTTTTTGCATGGCATTGGAGATACCGCAAATCCCTGCCAGCATAAGAGGTCACAGTAGAAACTGATTCTAAAAATCTCATGTATGTGACTCATTGTGTTGTGAAACAGGCCCTTGGACGCATGGCCTACTTTGCTCTCATCTAAGTATCCACAGCAAAAGCCTCTAGGCATCTTGCAGGAAACCAGCCCAGCTACAAAGATGCCCTCTTTCTTTTCACTTGCCAGGAGCTGTTATATAATCAGGGCAGACTCAGTGAATGTAGCTGTTAGCTCTTCAAAGACTTAACACGAGAAATATACCAAATTACAATAAGAACTCTGGAGCTGAGAGAAGTTCTATCACATGCATGAAGAGGCCTTTCACAGTCAATCAGAACATTTCCGCTCATGACCCTGAAAGGCTGGCTACCCTCAGGAGCTCAGACGTTGGTGCCAGATGCCTGCCGGAAGGTGCTGGCAGGAGCAGTCGGCAGCCCCTTGTCCAGAACTGCCTGCTTCTTTATTCCAGTCTGTTTTCATATATTAACACATCTTGTTTAGAGTGTAACATTCTATAAACCTTCCCATTAGAAATGTCATGTGAATACAACTGAGACACCCCAGGGCCAGCCATATGCCCGCCTGTTTTGTTATTTTGTTTTTGATAACAAGCTGTTAAGTCTCCACCTAGTGGCTAGACATCCCAAGAAATGAAAATAAAAGAAGCTTCTGACCACATGGAGAGTTACAACTATGCTTAATATGCACGCTGGGAGCTCTGTAGGTGGTTTTGGTGAATACCTGCATGGTGGCTGCTTGCCTCCTCACTCACTCACCTCTTCAATCTGGACTGAATTTTAACTGTCCCCTGGCTAGTGCACTAAAAAGTTCCATGTCTCAGGTCTCAAGACCCATGTGTTACTCTGGGAGCTTGCTCTGTCAGGAAGGAAACCCTGGCACTCAGTCTTCTTTTTCTTTTGTATTCAAGTAGTTCTATTAATCCTTATCATGGTATTAAGTTATATGGTCAAGGATTTACCAGTTGTTGCTATGCTTCCCTTAGTTCCCAATGGAACTTATTAAGAACAACTCTCAGTCCAGTGCCCTCAGCTTTGCTATTTTCCATTTACTAAAGTCACTCCCAGTTTTTAAAATTCTTACCCATGATATCAATATCAAATCTACATAGCATCAGAATCTGAGAAACAGTGCAAATGAATGCTCTACACATCCTTGGTCTTATAGCTTGTACCCTGGGATGTAGCAGGGAATTTTGACTCAACCCCAAAAGACAGTTACCACTGAAATAGCTTTCAACAAGGGATCCCATTTTTCAACCTCATATGAAGGTTGAGGTTGGCATGCTCATTTGGCAGGTCTTGGTGATCAGGAGGCATTGGAGAGCTGTTGTATTGTGAAAATCCCTGGAGTTTTGATCCAGGCAGACGGAACCTGGGGATCTGCAGAATGATCTGTAGCCTATAGGGGGGTCCTCCCTGAGACCTGTAACAGAGCCCTCCAATATCTAATCTTTTGTCTTCTGCAGTGACATCAGTGCAGGACCCTTGGTGGAAGCTGGATATAAGAAGGAAGTAGGCTTCATGAACCCCAAGGAGAAGGACACCAGACAATCTATCATTTTACCCTTATCTTCTGTGATTCTAGTTTCCAGCCCCGTGTGCTTCACTGGCTCTTCACTATGCCTCTGCCTGGCTGGCTTACTTTCCTTTTGTTGATCAAATGCCACCAATCCTAGAACACTGTATTATATCTTTGGGTTCCATAATGGCTCCCGAACCCTAGCACTCTACTTCCTCTTCCTAGCTATAAAGGCTGATGAGACAGCTGGGGGCGGGGGACTGGACATATTCTAGTAAGAGCTGAATAGAAACTGCTTCATGTAGTAATGGGAGCTATCCATGTCAGGCAGTGACTTAGGCATGTTACAGACATTACCCCCAACTTTGCTATGTCTTTGCAAGGTAGATGCTGTAGTCTCTACACTATAGACAATAAAAGGTTAATTAACTTTTTAAAGCTCTTACAGCCTGTAAATTAAGAGAGCTGGGCTTCAAATCCAGCTTTATCTGACCCAAAGCCCAGGCCATGGCAACTCACTACCTCCTCATCATCTCAGTTTCCAACAACCAAAATCTTTTTAGCTATGAGTGTGAATAATTCAGATTAATCATCATCTACTAGGGGACATTTCTCTGGGCTATGGAAGAAGTAGAACTATGAAACAAACAAAAATTATCATCCATCATTTATTTATTTAGCTTCAGAACTTTTTTCTTTTTATTCTGTATGTAAAACCCCCCAATTTTTTATGGGGACACCCTGACATCTTCAAACCATTGCTGTTTCTACTTATTTTGTTGTCATAGCATGTCATAGCAGCAATGGTTGTCAATAGCATGTTCATCCTGGAACCAACTGCAATTCATGTCCACTGGGGGTCTCTATGCTGAAGTAACTGTATGCATATTTACAGCCACTATACCCATCCTACATTACATACTCCTGCCACGTGAACACATGTATTCCTCTTTGTTATAAGGTTCAGCTGTTTGAGTTATGTCCAAATGTGCTTTTTCTAGTTTGATGGGCTTGGTGTGAAGATCATGTATACAGTTTTAAACATAATGCTCATGCTCTCAAATCTTGCTTCAGTTGAAATGACACCAGTTCTGAGCTCCAAGAAACACTATTAAAAATCAAAAGTAGGCTATTTCTAAATATTTTTGAGTCTGTTTGAAGGAAGATAAATATAAAATATGAGATACTAGTTTGTAATGTAAGTCACATAAAAATATTGCCTCTTATGAAAATATTTTGTAAGGTTAAAAAAACTGAATTTTTGTTTGGCGCTCAGGTCTAGAAGGCTCCCTGAAATCCTATGCATAATGAGGAGAAATTCGATGATAACAAAGGAAGCTCTGCCTGCTCACCCTTTTGGAGGGCTCATGCTGCCTGAAGCCTTCGGCTTGCCCAAGGAAACCAGTTTCCCACTGTAGCTGGAGACAGGCCTACAGGTAATCTCATGATACATACCAAGACTGACGGCAACTTCATCTAGGGAGATGGTAGTTTTCTCAGTTGACAAGGGATAACTTGGATAGCGAGCTAGAAACTTCTGGCACAAGAGTCCTAAACTTTTCTGTTTTCTGCTTGGCCTTTGCTTTTCAAATTCATCCACAGCACTGTCCCCAACAACAACAAGCTATAGAGGGCAGAGAGAAGGGAGGGGGGAAACATCACAGTTAACATCCTAATGGAGAAATTGCAATGGCTGGTATTGGCAAATGGGGAGGACATCTCAATCCATACCATCCTAGATTCTGGTTAAAATATATTTCCTAATATAATTTTCTGTATGTTTTACCTATTGCTTTGTCTGGGCTGAATTTTTTTCTCCTTTGTAATTTGAGGCTGAGCGTATTACTTAAAAGTTAAAAAAATGAAAAATGTAGTTATTTTTAGGCAGCTACTAGTGTGTTTGTTGAACCCCTGAAATCAGCATTGGCAGGAGCTTGTTAGAGACATAGAATCTCAGGCCTTGTCGCAGATCTGCTGCATCAGAATCTGCTCTGTCAGAAGATTCTGGGTGAGTCCTATTGACATGAAAGTTTGAGATGCACTGGCCTGCATCCTGTCACCAAATTGTTTTACATTTTACAACTGACCAAAGGTTGATGAAACTGCACTAGGGCAGTTAAATCTTATTATTATTTCTCATTTGTGAGTACACTAAACTAGTACCTTGTACCATCAACCTACATTCGAAAGGGGCTCCATTCAAGCCCCAAGAAAGTAAAAGACTTTTTAAAGGAAAGATATAAGGAGAAAAGTGATATGATTATCTTAATAGATTCAGAAAAAGCATTTGATAAATTTAACACTCATTCATGATTTCCAAAAATGCCCTCAGAAAATTAGGAACAGGAGAGAACTTCTTCAATGAAATGTAGTCATGAAAACACAATAGGAAACATCTGTCTTAATGGGAAAAACTTGGAAACTTTCCCTTAAAATCAGGAAAATGATAAGGATGTCCACTATCATTTATTAGAGATCCCAGTAGTGCATGAGGACAGGATAAAGAAATTGAGGCACAGGGACTAGAAAGGAATAAGTAAAACCTTTCATTCTGCAGAAAATGTGATTGTTCACATAAAAAACTGAAAAGAACCTCAGACAAGTTATTAACCACTTCGGTACCAGCGGCGACTATAGTCGATAGCCACAGATGAACGCGAGACTTTAGCCCACAGCCGTGATATGAAGGCACACAGCCGAGCGTCGACTTTAGCCGGCAGCCATGATATGACTTTTCTAATTTTTTATTTATTAAAATAAAATTGTGAACATTTAAAAATAACGTAATGAAAACATATATGTATATGTTACCTATTCTGATTTATACTACAAGTAAAGTTGCCTGTAAAGTAAAACAAGCTTTCAGTGCTTTAAAGCTTTCCTCATCACACAAGAGCAAAATGGATTCGCCGTCAATGCACAGCACAAACTATCGTGCAGACTATGAGTGCCGGCTGTGGGCAAGGTTTCGTGGCTGGTGAGCGCGGTACTGAAGTGGTTAAACATAATAAGAGAATTTAACAAGGTAACTGAATATGAGACAATATATTTTAAAAAATCAGCTGCATTCCTATACAACAGTAACAGCAAATGAATTGAAAAGACATCATTTACACAAGCAACAAGAATGATAAGGTTTTTAGGAATAAATCTAGCAAAAATCTATTTGCATAAAATACTAAAACTTAGATCTTAAAGAAGGATATTTAAAACTTAGATATACTATTTTCCTAGATAGGAAGACTCAGTACCATCATAAGGTTAATTCTTCTCAAATTAATCTACAGATTCAATGCAATTAAAATTAAATCCAGTGTAAAGTATGTATAATGGAAGAACAAAAAGCCAACAATAGCCCACACAAGCAAGAAAAATAAGTTGAGCATTCTGTTTCACCTGATATGAAGGCTAATTACAATAAGAGTATTGGGGTATATGCATAGACAAACTGGCCAACGAAACAGAAAAGAGTCCAGACACGTACATACATATAAATGTAACTTTGACATATGAAAGGGTTGCACTGCCAACTGGGAGGAAGGGAAGAACTCCTGAATAAATGGTGCAGGGACACCTGATTATACAATAGAAAAACAAAGATGTATTCTTGAATCACAGTGTACACAAAAAGCAATTCCAAATGATTAAAGATTTAAACAAATAAAGCAAATTTTAAATGAGGAAAATGTAGGAAAATACATTTTCCTACCTTGGGATAGGAAAGGATTTCTTTAAATAGTCACACAAACATTACCCTTAAAAGAATGAATTTATACCCTGGACTATGTTAAACTTGAGAACTTCTGTCCATCAAAAAGAAACAATATAACGGGAAAAGACAATCACCAAACTGAAAGAGCATATATGTAACATACATAATTAATAAAAGTTCAGTATCAAGAATATATAATCAACCCCAGCAAATCAATGTGAAAAAGATTAACAACCCAGTAAAAATTGGCAAAAAATACAAACATGCATTTTACACAAGTGGGAAAAACATGGTGGCCAGTAAACATGTGGAAGGAAGCGTAACCTCCAGAGTGACCAAGAAAAAGCAAATGAATACCACAAAAAGATATAAATCGTATACTCACTAGATTGGCAAAGATTAATAAATTTAACAATTTCAAGTGTCAGGATGTGGATCAATAAATGTTTATACATTACTGTTGGAAGCAAATAATACTTTGGAAAGCAATTTGGCATTATTTTGTGAATATATGCATACCAGTGACCTAGCAATTCTACTACTAAGTACATACCCTAAAATGGTAGTTCTTAAATGTTTTGCTCACAGCATCCCTTTATATTCTTAAAAATGACTGAGTACCATACAGAGCCTTTTATTTATGTAGGTTTTATCTACTGATAGTTGCTGTATTAGAAATTAAAACTGAGACAGTTAAAATGTTTTGTGAGAAAAAGGTCATTTTTCTCAAATCTATTTAGCGTCTGGATTAATAGAAGAGAACTGAATTCTTGTGCTTGCTTTCATTTTCAATCTGTGGCAATGTCCACATCATATACTTACTGGAAGACTGCAGTGTACACTTGGGAGAAAATGAGAGTTCAAATGGCAAATGTCTTAGTATTATGAAAATAGTTTTGACCTCATTGACCGGTAAGACTCTTTGTGGACATGAAGTCCCCACATCACACTTTAAGAACCCCTGTCCTAGGGAACTCTTGTACATGTACACCAGGAGACATACACAAGAATATCATAGCAGCATAGTTCATATTAGCCTTAAATTGTAAACTCAAACAGCTATAAATAGGAAAACAGATAAATAAGTTGTGGTGTATTCATGTAATGGAATATCCCATAGCAATGAAAATGAAAGAACCACAGCTACAGGCAAAAATGCAAATGAATCTTAATGAAGTATGTTGATTGAAAAAAGCAAGTCTCAGAAGATTGTACACTACATATAGTTTCAATTTTACAAAGCCTAAGGACCAAACCAAACCAAACTAAACAAATCTATGCAATACACTATACAGGAACATGATAAATACAAATTCAGGAGAGTGGATGCTCTGTCAGGGAGGCAGATGTCAATTAATAGTATTGTTCTGGCTTTTGGGCTGAGAGATAGATTTATGGGGGTTAAAGGTATTATTGCATAGGGTAAGTATATTTTATATGATCAAATAGTGTATCAAATGGTAATAAAGGCCAATTTTTAAAAGATATTAAAAGCCTGTTTTATGGCCACTCAAATTTAAGGTATTTATTTCCAAGTAGTACTGAACATTTCTAGTGACTGATCAGTTAAAATCTCCTTATAAAGCTTGGATACAAAACCCAAAAATTTAGTTTTAGGGCCATGTTAAACAACTAGTTCTATCAAAATAAGATATCAATAACATCACGTTATGAAAGAGGTCAGTAACAATTCCCATTGGGTGATTTTCACTTTGCTATATTTTTGTCGAGAAAATTACAAAAGAAAACACCTAATATTTATATGCTTTTGACAGCAAAAAGCACACTTAATTTTATTTAGTTTTTAGAATAAAAGCTAATAAAACCAAGGCAGGTACCATGATTCCCATTTTACAGATGAGTAAACTGAGGTGCAGAGACCCTGAGTGGTTTCCCCCAGCCACCTAGCTAGTGATTTTAACCCAAGGCCTCTAAAACCAAGCTCCTTGTGCTTCTAACATTAAATATAAAATATAAAGGAAGTGAAGAATAAACAAGACTTAAAAAAGGAATTATAAATTTTTTTGGCTTTAAGCATGTAAAAACTTCTCTCAAAACTGTATGATTTGTGTTTAGTTACATGAAACAATCTGTTAGTTCTATCACTCCAATGATATATATAGTAGATTAAATTAATTTTGTTTTATTAATTTTAAGTTATAATTCAGGACATCTTTTTCTCTTATCTCCTCCCAATTTCTTCGTTTTGGCAATTTTTATAGCTTAAAAAAATCCACCAAAAGGAGAAAAAATAGCTAAGAACACCCAAATCTGCAAGAAACTTCTTACCAAGTCTGGGAAAAAGTTTGATGAAAGAGTGAAAATCATTGACCATTGAGTTTTTTAAAAAGTGTAAATATGCTGCTTATTTGTCAATAGCTCTGGTTCCCCACAGGACAGGGAATTCAAAGATGGCTTAACTTTAGTAAAAGCCCAAACTAACAAACTGAACATATATGAGAATGGAATTTCCCAAATCTAAAATATTTAGATTAATACCACCTTTAAAATGTGAGCAAAATTATAATTCACAGTAGCATTTAAAGAAATCCAAATTCCTTCATTAAATCAAAATTATTAAATATTATTACTTAAAAAATATTTTATCATTTTTAAATGTGTTCTGGTCCAGGGAGTATCATACAGAAGAGAAGAAAGCATTCATCATGAAAAATAGGATACAGAGCAAGAATTCTGCTATAAATAAAAAGATATTCAGTTTAATACTGCTTTTGGCTCAATAAGAGCTGAAAAATTGAGAATTTTTAATAATCAAGTAATATTTTGTAAGTTCTATAAAAGCCTTGAGGAGCACAGCCTGTTTACCTGTATAGAGTCTGTAAATGCATTATCCTTATTTTCAATGCGTCGGAAAAGTCCCTTTTTCTTCTCCCGGTCCCTTATGTCTGGGCTGGCAGCACTAATGAGCATCTTCAGGTTAGCTGTGGGTGTCCACGGTTCTGTTTGCTGTCTGTCGACAGGCTTAACTGGAGTAATGGGATTTCTCTCTGGACTGAAGATTTTTTGCTTCGATAAGTCAATTGGTTCATTTTTTATTGGCGTCTTCGGGGCCATTCTTGATGGATCAACAAATATATTTTCCTATTTTAAAACAGAGACCTTTTAGCAAGAGCGAGAAAGGGCAGGTGTCAGCTAAGAGTACACTTTGTTCCCACCTTTCACTAACACTCGAAAATACAAATAGGACCATATGTTGGGCTGAAAAGTATCGGGATAAGACTAATGAAAATTAGACAGAAGGCTTCAAGGGAATTGAAGAGAAATAGACTATAATCTGCTACTCCTTTAAAATATATTTTTCGTGGAATCTCTGTGAGAGATGTCATGAATGTATCTGTCACTCGTAATAGTTGGGGCTGATGAAGGCCAATGTGGTTGAGTCCATATTGCTTCTAAGTGCCACCTTTTTAAAAACACTATTTACAAGTTTGCATTAACTAGTGAAGAGCAATTATGCTTTTCTAGTTCAATGTTCACTAGTGCTAATATAGCAATTAACAGCAGGACCAGTTAATGGAAGAACGTCTAGCAAAATACAATATTTTAAGCCAACCTAGAGAGCTGTGTAATATTCTCCTAGAGCAGTGCTTCTCCCACGTATTGATCATATTGATATGTGATCTTACTTCATAGGACTACTATGCAACTCCCACCAGATGTGACTTGCCATTTGAGTTTGTCACTCAAACTGGCTTGTTCAACAAAGGACCACTGATCATAGGCTTAGATGTCCTGGTGGCAATATCAACTTGCTACTGAGGTTTCTAAGTGCTTAACTCCCAAGTTCTGTTAACTTTTTTGTAGCCTGATAATAGTTTGTGGAAAAGCACCTGTCCTCAGACCACACTTTGAGTAGATGATCCTCAATAATTGTAAGAAAAGATTAATGATTTCCCCATTATGAAAAAGGGGTAAATATATAGAATCCACATTTAGAACTATCAAGTAATTAAAACAAATTCCTCTAAAATAAGTTTCAAAATATTCAAAACAGAATTCAGAATAAGAGAATTCAATAATTCAATATTCAATATTCAAGAACCGGAAGATTCTGCTTTTCCTGTGGGATTCCTTTCCAGTCAACAGTGTCTTACATGATTTTGAAGGTAGATGAGTTAAATATCTGTCACTCAATCTCCTGCACACACACCACTCTAAAGCTACTACATGCGTGCATTTTGGCTGAGCAGTGATTTACAGAACGTGCTTTCCTATAAATGATTAACACGTGAAGAGGTAAAAGATTGTTTGGGAGAAACTGGAGTTTGTGTAAACAGAGCAAATCTTATTCCTTGCATCAGCAGAAGCTGCGAGCTAGCCATGATAACGTTCTGTCCCAGCATAACAGGAAGGAAGGGAGTGGATGGGTGTGGGGATTTCTCATGCCACAGCAGCAGTAAACACCCAGCCCAGAGCGCTGCATCCACTTACCTCCTTTAACAAGTCCCTGCTGGCATGCCAGTCTGATGAAGGCTTCCACAAGTGAAATTACCGAGCGTTTACTATATCACGCCCTGTTTCATGTACCTTGCACGTATTAAGTCCTCATCCAATCCTGTGACATAGGTCCTATTATTTTTCCAGTTTACAGATGAAGAAACTCAGGCACCAAAAGGTCAGTAACTTGCCTGAGGTCACACATGACCTCATTCAATGTAAAAATCATTGGTATGTAAGAAACGGCTGAAAGCAGATGGTTCTGAATTATGCATTTAAAAATGAGCATGTCCTGGGTGCAAGTTGGGAGGAAGTTATCTTTTTCACAACTCCAACCAAAGGTACCCAGCAGGCCCCAGCAGGCCGTGATGCCCACAAGCAGCTAGGCAGAGGCAGGATGGGGAAGTAGTTATGCACAAAACTACCTGACGCCAGCTGACCTGACTCTACTACTTATCAGCAGTGTGAGTGTGACAAGTTCCTGCACCTCACTATATTTTATTTCTCTCAACTGAAAATGAAGTTCATAAAAATGCCCACCTCAAGGGTTAGAAAAATAGTTCCTGGCCTACAGTGAGTGCTCAATAAAACTTTGCTTTATCTTTTCCCTCTTTCCTATTCTTTATTGCCATTCATTCTGGCACTTTGAGATAATACACTACAGCACATGGTATTGCTATTTTATTTCCTGGATGTGTGTCTTGTCGCAATGACACTATGCATTTGGAGTGGTCAAGGGGCAAGTTCCACATGTGTTATTCATCCCAATTTTGGGCACAATGTCTTGCCCATTACAGGTGCTCAAAGAACACTGTGTCTTGATTATCTGGTTATTCCAAAAGGTGTCCTCTTGGTAGAAGGTGTGGTTCAGACATGCTGAGTAGACAGAGATTTACTTGCCTTCGATATTGCTTACACAGTATCTGTCCTCATTGGAATGATGAGTTCCTACTTTTTCCCTTGCAAGGGAGCAACTCAGAATGATGATTTATTTATATACTTTGATATATTTTCACTGCAGTTTGATGAAAAGGAGGGGAGTTAGGTCAAGTGGTAGGTTATGATCATACTACACCTATTAATACATCGAAAAAAAAAAAAGCCAAGCAAATTGTTTTCTAAGGTCTACAGTGGGCAGAAAGTTAATTGTAATCTGGTCACACCCTGCTTCATCCATCTGTTTATCCTGCTATCCTGACATTTATAGGGAAGTGATAAGGGGACTGGAATGGAGACTTATAAAGCTGATTTGTGTCTCATCTCTTTTTGTATCTTTTTGATCCATGGACAAATCGTTCATTCTGTCTGAGCCCAAGTTGCCATATGCATAAAATGAGGGATTCAGACTAAAGTATTTATCTCCAAAGTTTTTTTAGCAATGCTGCCCAGCTGTTTAGTGGACACTAGGATGCACCCGGATCTCTCTAGAAATGAATGACTCATTTCCCCAGCTACTGGAAGTAATGCCAATATTAAACCCTTAACCAGACTGGAAGAGGGCTGACTCATCCAGCATCATAATCCCTCCTGGGATGCCTAGCTTGTACTCACTAGCTGATGGAAATAGCAATAACCTGTAAAAGCCTGGCCTCCTTGCCCCTACCAGGAGGTCATTCTAGAACTCTCCATAGGGTAACTCAGATATTTGGGTCCCTGAAAGTCTCTCTGGTAACTGACAGTACGGCCTGCATCAAATTCATTTTTGGGTTATCACTGTGATTCAGTACAATATGAAGAATATGTGCCGATGGATGTTTTTCAGAAACCCAACAGGGGAGGTGCTATACATTAACTCCAATTAATGGCAGAACAAAATGGCCTTAGGGAGGTTATGAGACTCATTAAACCACCATATCCTTAGCATCTGAAACATACATATTTGTTGAAAGATCTTATTATGTATGTTTGTTAAATAGTTAATAAATGGAAAAGCAAGAAATCAAACTCATGACCTTGTGACTCCAAACCCCATGTTCTCATCATCCCTAAAATCTCCTCCTTTACTTCCTAGCAACATGAAAAAGACACTAGCTCCTAGCATCTCTGCAGAAGGACTCTGTTCTCATCTCTTGTCTTCTCTTTGAGGTGATATGATCCTTGCTCATACAATTCTATTTCAAACATATTAGCCACTTGCCCAGTCTCTTTTGAGTTTTTCTCCAAACCCATTACAATGTAAAAGCTCAACTGGACACAGCACTTACTGATGATAGAGGAGAAGGGTCCTTGTTGAAGGCACTTGATAAAAGTCATTGACCCAGAAGGACAGAAGTGGAGTACTGACTTAGACTTTATATAAATGTACATTTACACATTCTTTCAAGGCTTAGTTAAGATGGAAAGGCATTAAATTTGTGGGTGGAAGACATGAACAGAAACATGTTCCAATTGACAGCAGTCGGGTTCATTACTATCCACAGTTTCAGGCATCCACTGGGCATCTTGGAAGATATCCCCTGCGGATAAGGGGGACTACTGTACTTTTTTTCCTAACAAAAATAAATCAAAATGCTGAACAAACAAACAAAAAAAATCCCTACATGGAAAAGCACACAATTTCACATGTATTCAAAATTAATGAGTGTCAAGGCCCTTTTCTTCAAGGCCCATTTAACAGGTGCTTCACAACCAGGTGGTTTCCTGGTTGATGTTAAGCCTTGATGCCCAAGGAAGTTGCTACTCTCAGGTTTATATCCAAAGTTTCTAAAACTGGGTTTGTTAAATCTATTTGCCTCTGACTAAAAATGCTCAGATAGTTTAGAATCGTTACTGCCAGTTAACTTTTTAACATTTCTTGAAGACATCACTTCAGTCTTACAAATCACAAGGGGTGCAAAAAGGGAGAGAATGGCTCAGTAGCATGCACAGAAATGCTATCAGTAGCACTGTAAAATATTCAGAGTATGTTGGTGGGCTGAGTTACTTTTTCTCCCTATATGGTAGGCACAGGTCATTCTCTTGGGTGAATGGAACAGCCTCTAGGAACTGGTTCATTGTTATGAAGACATTTTACAGCACCTTAATAATCCAGCATTTGAAACTACAAAAGTCTATTTTCCTGGGAACTGAGACTTAACATTCCTACAGAGCATTAGCTAAACTACCCTTGACAACCGTCTTACAAATTTTTGATTGCTGTGTCCAGCATCTCTTACATAATTGGTTCCAACATTACATCTAACCTAGCCTCTCTTTCCATAGCTCAATGACTGAGAGTACAATTGTAACAATAATGATGTGGATGACTCCATTTTTAAAAAAGTATGTTTCTACAATGTTCATCAAAATTGATTATGATGTTTATAAGACAAATACAAGTAGCATGTTGGAACACTTAATTGGATTAGGTATCATCATCCTTATTATGCTAGAGATTAAGGTATTTATGTGTGCTTACCTTTTGTGCATTTTCTCCATCTTCAATTGCAAAATCTAACCTGGACTGCCTGGGGTTGATCAGGTCTTTTAGTGTTAAACAATTTACCTCCATCTGTAATGCACATTAGAAAATGATCGTATAATTAGATATTTTTTTCTCCCAACAAAATACCTATGTATTTATTACTTGTTTGTGAACATGAACTTCCCCTTCCCCAAACATGTCCTGGGAATTTCCAGGAATGTAGCCGCCTTCCAACCCTCTCTAAAACGCACATGAACAAACACACTTAAAATGTACTTAGTAATTACTGAAAATCTGGGAAGAAAAAAAAATCAACAAAAATAGTAATTCTTAATGAAAAAGGCTACAGGGCAAAATAAAGTTACCGAGTCAGGAGGGTGTTGGTCAAATCTGTCAGAAAGTACAGGGTCTCCCAGGTCAGTTAATTTTGGCGCAAAGAACTGGGAGGAATTCGGCTTTGAGGGGGTTTGAATCAGAGGAGAGGGAAACCTGATCGCTAGACCAAACCCACTCAGAGCTTAGCACAGCCCTTTCTCAGGCCTCCAGGCAGACCCCCAAAATAAATTCTTCCAATGAAACCCCTAAATCGTGGGCAAGGGCGAGTCCCCTCTCCTGTCCGGCTGGAGGAAAAGCTGGATCCGGCACAGCCCCCGAGCACCCGGTGCCGCAACGATAACACCTCGATCTCCCGCCAGCCGGGGGAGCGGAGGGGTCGTAGGCTGGCAGCCGGGGTCCCCTCACCCCCAATTCCCGCCCCGCCACCAGCGCCGGGGCCGCACGCTTACTTACTCCCGCTTTGCGAAGGAGGCTTCCTGCCTCCACCCGGACCTCCACCGCGCCACACTGATGCGGGAAGGGGGTGAGGCGCTCAGCAGCCTGGCGGCGACATTGGGAGGGTAGAGCGAGGCGCGCAGATCCTCGCGCCAAGTGCCCTGGGCTGGCGGGGACCAGACAGCCTCCGGGCAGCGCCAGCGTTCCGAAGCCCCGAGCGCGGCTCCAGCCGGGATCACTATCCCCGCTAAAACACCTCCTCTGGCGCCTTGAGACCGAATTTGAGAATCCACCAATCAGCTGCGGCCGGCGGGGCGGCCCCGGCCAATCGCGCGGCCTCATGGCCCGGGCTCTCCGCCCCTCGGAGTCTTGGCGCTCTGGGCCGCGCGTTTTGCCCTCACCCGCCCAATTGTTGCGGCCTCAGTCCCCCTCCCCCTTCCGGGTACCTGGAAACCTCGGACCCGGGAGCCAATTCCTGCGGAGGACGCGCGCCCGGGCGGGGCCGCGGGAAGCCAAGGTGGGGGCGGCGCGGGGCCGCTGCAGGAGGAAGAGGAGGAGGTGGAGGACTCTTTTGTTATGCATAAAAGACCCGCCCAGGACCCCGCCGCTTGCCGCGCCCGGGGACCGCGGGCACAGCCAGGGGAGGGGAAAGCAGATGGAGTTTGGAAAAACGATATACGCGCTCTGGATGCTGCCGCCGCCACGCCTTTCCCCACGCCGCACCTCCTAGTAACCTGCGCGGAAGCGGAGTTGTTCAGACTTGCTGGGGCAAACTTCCTAACACCGGGACGCTGGCGTGACACGTGAACCATGGTTACCGCTCTGTGCTGCGAGCAGATGGCACGCCAGTTAGCCCTGGAAACCAGACTGGAAGCCAAACCCATTTTTTTTCCCTTAGCTTTTTTTTTTTTTTTTGCAAATCCGGAAATGTTTCTTGATGCTCCCTTTTCGGAATATCGCAAATAATTAGGAAGGAAAAAGCCTTATCTTTTAAAAAAGCAATTCTTTGCAATATGGACTGGCATTGAGGAAACAGTTGAGAAAATTTCCTCAACATTCTGATTTGTATAAAATTTTTCACTTTCTTTAACTTTAGTTTCATATTTAAATTACGAATGTTGGTAGAGACAGTTTTTTTTTTTTTAGAAACTATTGTTTAGAACACTTTTAGATTTACAGAAAAAATGAAAGATACTACAGAGTTCTCATATATCCAGCATCCAATTTCACCTCTATTAACATATTAGTATAGTACATTTATTAAAATTAATGAACCAATATTAGTATTTTATTTTTTAACTAAAGTCATTACTTTATTCACATTTCCTTAATTTTTATCCAAAGTCTTTTTTTCTGTTCCAGGATACCACAATACTTTTAATCTCCGTATCTCCCTAGGCTCCTCTTGGCTGTAACAATTACTCATACTTTCATTGTTTTTGATGACCTGGACAGTTTTTTTTGAGACAGAGTCTCACTCTGTTGGGGGGGGGGGGCTAGAGTACCCTGGTATCAGCCTAGCTTACAGCAACCTCAAACTCCTGGGCTCAAGTGATCCTCCTGCCCCAGTCTCCCGAGTAGCTGGGACTATAGGCATGCACCACCATGCCCAGCTATATTTTCTATATATTTAGGAATATATAGTTGGCCAATTAATTTCTTACTATTTTTAGTAGAGAGGTCTTGCTCTTGCTCAGGCTGGTTTTGAACTCCTGACCTTTAGCGATCCTCCAGCCTTGGCTTCCCAGAGTGCTAGGATTACAGACATGAGCCACTGTGCCCTGCCGACCTGGATAGTTTTAAAGAATATTGATTAGGTAGGTAGGACCTCAATTGGAATTTGAGATGACCTTTTTAAACCATGTCTACAGACATTTCCCTACAAACCATGTACTTTACGGCAAGGGGATCATTCTCCTTATCCTTTCTGTCCCAAAGTTCCACTGTCTACCCCATAACACCCATATATATATATATATATATACACACATACATATATGTATATATATATTATTATTTTTTAAAAGAACTTTGGGCAGAATTCAGAATGCTCAGTCAAGTCTTTCACTTTGTACTCTAGAATGCTGGTAAATACAGCCTCAAAATTACTGCTAGGGCATACGTTAAAAAGACAAAAAAACACACAAAACATTAAACATAAAAGTAACAGTAGTAATAAAAGGTTGACATTTTTATAATAGAAATAACACTTTGAACTGAAACTAGTAGGCGGAAGCATAAAGAAAAGTATAAAGAATAAAATTGTAACTTACTGAATTTTATACTTAGGTGGAAGCAAAAAATTTGGATGAAATATTTTTTACAAACTGTATTAATTTTCTGTGGCTGCTATAACCAATCACTAAAACTGGCTGGCTTCAGAGAACAGAGATTTATTCTCTCGCAGTTGTGAAAGCCATAAATCAAGGTGTTCACAGGGCCATAACTAGGGCTCTTAGAGGAGAATCTGTGCTTTGCCCGTTCCAGCTTCTGGTGCCTGTTGGCAATCCTTGGCATGCGGCTGCCTCAGTCCAATCTCCGCCTCTGTGGTCACATTCCTTTCTCTTTTGTCTGTTAATTCTCACGTTCATGTCTGTTATAAGGACACTTGTCATTTAATTTAGGTCCCACCCGGATAACCAGGATATTCTCATCTCAAGATCCTTAATTATATCTGCAAAGACCCTTTTTCCAAATAAAGTAACGTTCCTTCACAGGTTCTGGGAATTAGGACGTGGATATACTTTTTTGGGGGGCCACTGTTTAGCCCTCTAGACCTGTGGTCCCCAACTCCCAGGCCATGCACCAACTTCTGGCCATGCACTGATACCGATCCGTGGCGTGTTAGGAACCAAGCAGCACAGCAGGAGGTGAGCAGCAGGTGAGCAAGCAAAGCTTCATCTGTACTTATAGCTGCTTCTCATCACTGGCATCACCGCCTGAGCTCCGCCTCCTGTTAGATCAGTGGTGGCATTATATTCTCACAGGAGCAGGAACTCTATTGTAAACTATGCATGTGAGGGATGTAGGTTGCGCACTCCTTATGAGAATCTCATGCCTGATGGTCCAAGGTGGAGCTGAGGCGGTGATGCTAGCACTGGGGAGCGGCTGCAAATACAGATAATCATCAACAGAGAGGTTTGATTGCACAGAGACCATAATAAATCAATTGCTTACAGACTCATATCCAAACTCTATCAATGAGTGGCAAGTAACAATGTCATAATACCGTGTTTTCCTGAAAATAAGAAAGGGTCTTATATTTATTGTTCCTCAAGAAGACACCCCAGGGTTTATTTTCAGGGGATGTGTTATTTTTTTAAGTACGGTACAACAATCAACATTTATTCAAATATAGTTAAGTTGTCTTCTTCTGCAACATCATCATAACTCTCCAAACCCCAAATTCCATTCTGAATTTCTTGTGACTCTATTTTCTTTATAACCATTGGCCGAGACCTGACAGGGGGAGCTGACCTTGTTGGTGGGGCTGCCCGAACCTTTCCGGTCACCTCTGGGATAGTAGCTGTCATGATGGGGCAGATGAGAAGGCTGCTCGTCTTCTTCACCGCTCCACGACTAAATGTATGGGTTGTGCAGATACAGCCGCACCCGTCACTAGGTCTCAGTTTCAGGGTAGCGCTTATATTGAGCAAATGCTTAGAAATCCTGCTAAGGCGAATTTTATGGGTAGGTCTTATTTTGGGGGAAGCACGGTGATAATAGAAATAACGCGCACAATAAATGTAATGCACTTAGATCATCCTAAAACCATCTGGCCCACCCATGGTATGTGGAAAAATTGTTTTCCATGAAACTGGTCCCTGGTGCCAAAATGGTTGGGAACTGCTTCTGTAGACCAACATTCAAATTTATTAGAGTCCATTCATTTCTCTGATATGCCAAAATACTAGTGGTTGTTCTTTGAGCTTAGACAGTTATAGAGCCTTTCCTAGCATTTTCAGACCAAAAATACTTTTTCTATGTATTTCATTACAAATGTAGCCTCTGGTCAAATCAAGAAGAACTCAGTTAATATGCAACTTCAGGGACTTGTAATTTCATTGATTGTTTTTTTTTTTTTTTTGAGACAGAGTCTCGCTTTGTTGCCCAGGCTAGAGTGAGTGCCGTGGCGTCAGCCTAGCTCACAGCAACCTCAAACTCCTGGACTCAAGCAATCCTCCTGCCTCAGCCTCCCAAGTAGCTGGGACTATAGGCATGCGCCACCATGCCCGGCTAATTTTTTCTCTATATATTTGTTGGCCAATTAATTTCTTTCTATTTATAGTAGAGACGGGGTCTCCCTCTTTCTCGCTCAGGCTGGTTTCGAACTCCTGACCTCAAGCAATCTGCCTGCCTCGGCCTCCCAGAGTGCTAGGATTACAGGCGTGAACCACCGTGCCCGGCCTCATTGATTGTTTAAAGTAAAAGTTATCTTAGATTTGAAGGAAAATTGGAATATGAATGTTTGATGGACAAATTCAGAGACATTACTCCAACACACTGTAGACCAACATTATATGATATATATAATATAATATATAATAATATACACAGATGACATCTGACATCCGTCTTTGCAAAAGACTTACTCTATCATTTCTCAAACCTGAGAATAGTTTTAGATCTTAAGATTTAACACACTTTACAATAAAAAAAGAGATTGATCACACTTTACCAAAAGAATATACTGTAGTGAAGTACCATTCTTGTAAGTCAGTTCTAGGGCAAGATAGTCTGAATTGTCCAGTTAATGTATCAACTTCCTCAAATATTTTCTTTTTCTTCCACTACTGCAAGCACAGTCATCTTGGTGTGGCACCTGTTCTCCAAAGTACAGAAGGGAATTAGAAATTGATTTTTCAGCACACAGGTTACAGGGATCTTGACTTCACATCCTGGCAATTCTCCAGTTTCTTTAAGAGGATCGATGTAACAATTCTTAAACTGAGGGCAGCCATTAAAATGGACTTTGTCTTCAGTCATTCAGGAGTCTGATAATGTGATGCATTTGCTTCTCTAACGGCTAGCAAGTTCAGGGAAAACAAAAAATCTATTCTTGACCAACCACAAGCAATGGCAGAAGGAGAATGAGTTTGTGATTGGTTCATGCTCATGACCTTGGCAACAATAAAAGGAAGATGATACCAAAGGGCAGTTATGGCTCCCATCTCAAATGATATCCAGATGTCCAGTAGTTTAAAGGGAAGTGCCTCAGCTGTGACTGTATGTCCCACAGGGGACAGAG